CAGCTAAAATGCGATCGTTTACCGATTAGGGTTTACTGCCAATGCGGTGATAAATTCTACTTCACACTGATCAAATATACATTCAGAACTTTTATTGGAAATATCGATTTGAAAAATTCTGCAGTTTCTYGTGCCTAATGTAGACACATACAAAAATGCGCAAGTTTAAAGAAAAGTAATTTCATCCGATCGATTAACGCAGTGTGTAGTAAAAAAAAAATACGTATAAAAAACGTGTGTGTAGTACTTATAACCGTGGTAAATACTAAAATAATGAATATTCAACTTTTATTATAACTAAAATAATAAAATCAAACTTGACTGTATGTTTCCGACTTTCGAATAATACTTGTTCAATAGCAGAGTGATTAACAATTTAGAAAACAATACCCAGGTAACCGAGAAATATTTTATAACGAAACCTAAATAAACGTTTATTTTCCACTCATGTAAATAACTCTAACTTCAACAAAAAGGCGCAGCAATCACCTCGATTTGCACCAATCGCGGTACATTTTTAATAAGCTAAAAAAACAAAAATTACTTTTCAACTAATTATTATTAAAAAAGATTTTCGTCGAAGAAAATGTTATTCAAAGCTGAAACATGTGTCATGCAAATGTTTTGAAGAGCATATACCTAGTGTGCCATGATTTTGAAAAGACTGAAAATCACTGTTATACACTAATGAATTTAATATAGAGGCCTGGTGTAGCGGTGGTTTGGCTCCAGTCACTTACGTTTTTTGAAGTTAAGCATTAGCCCGTATCACTAGTTTCTGGATGGGTAGTGGGTACACGCATACGATATACGTGTTATATCCAACCGTACCTTCCCTCGCAGACCGCAGTAATAAACCTACTAATGAAGTCTTAACTCAATAAAAAAAAATTAATATAAAATATCTTACTTGTCATAGTTAGTTATCATTTCTTTGATAGCATTTACAAATATGTCTTTCGTTAACGTTTTGTGATCTAACATTATGCCTGCACCCCAATGAACTATGTTAGCAATGTTGTGTGATTGATCGAAAAATAGAGGTATACCAAGAACAGGTATTCCACTATCTATGGCTTCATAGATCCCAGACATACCACCATGAGATATAAACAATTTGACATTCTTATGTTCTGAAAGAATAAAGTGAACAAAATATTTGATAGATGAAATATGTTCAAATTTTAAATATAGAAAATCTTATTAAACAGCAGACATCAAGTAAAGTTTGCACATTAATACATTTTTTCACTRATAAGTTTAAAATGTACAAACTATAACAAACAAGTATTTAAACTAACCTTACATTTTTTAATATAATTGTTATTATTAATTATTTAATACCTAGATAGTAATAAAGTGAAGTAGATTCATATTTAAAAATATTTGGTATAACTCATTATTTAACAGCGTATTCTAGAGGTTACAAATTATTATGAAAAATATTTTTAAATTTGTACCTAAAATATCTCTTTGTGGAAACCATTTTCCTATTTTAACATTTTTTGGTAAGTTTTTTATGTTTGGAACGTCGTACTTCCACAGTACCCTTTGAGGTATTTCTGCCAATGCTTCAACGAACGCTTTCTGCAAATACGCTGGTGATGTTTCCAATTGAATTACAGATCCTAACGTAAAGAATATAACACCATTCGGAGAATCATTGATATACTGTTCAATATCCTAACAAATAAACAAATGAAAACATATTAATTTGATAATAAATATGTTTCGATTATATTCACATATTGTACCCATATATGACTTACTTTGGGCAATGATTTTGGCTGCACTAAATGAATTCCACCAATATTCACAAAATTTGGCAACAGAGGCTTGGCCAAGTCCACTGTATAATGTCCATTGATGAAAACTAATGACGAATTTTTCATTAAGGTGTCAGCATCTGGTGCGTCAGAACCAAAATATTTTCGACCGATAACCGTCGATTCCATGTCGACCCATTTGAACACTATGTGCGAATATATGTAATCATAAGCGTTCATCATTCTCTCCATGAAGTTTTTGGGTACTGCGTACGATGCGTGGTACGTGGAAATGTGCGCAGGGTTCATGTGACTACCAAACGTATGATGGTACCATGTATGAACATGGCTCGAGACAATGACTATCTGTGGTATTTTTAAATAATACGACACATATGCATCACACGACGAAGCTAGTAGTTCGGTGATAAACAGGTCATATCTATAAAAATTGAATATAACGGTTCAATATCATATTATTATAACATGCTATATATTATTTATTGGTAACAACTGTAATAAGCACTAATATTATTACTGTCATTACTGACTGTTTATTTTTAAAATTAAAATATTGTTTTGAAAAATATTTTATTGTAATTATGAATTATAAATTTCTGTATATTTTTATATAAATATTATCTAATTGAATTTAAGTTATCTATCTTATCTACTGTTTTGTTAAACGCGGTCGTCGTTCTTATAATAAATGAATAAATAGTAATAAATATATTATTTTAAGTAATATTTATATTTATATATTGATTAGGTAGTCACTAGTCAACATTTTATAATAAATCATTTAATTCTGTAATTTTATATTTTGTTACCTGTACTAGTCGTATTTGCTGACTCTGCCGTTGAAAAATTAACGAATGTTACAAATACAGACTTTTAACACAGTAAAGTTAGAATCAGAAGATAAATGTTTAAAAAATGTAGATGTAAAAATTGAAGAGATGGCGCTGTGGTTGTACTTGTTTCTTTTTAAATTTAATCATTTTAATAGAAATTATGAAAACATTATAGAAATTTATACACAAGTATATAAAACATTATGCAAAAGTTACATATATATGTATATATAATATATTTATTTATTATATTAAATTATTTATGTATATATAATATATTATATTTATATATATTTATATACATATATATGCTGCCATTTAACTGCGTTGTATAATATAGAACAGTAAGGAGTAATTATTATTTAAACCAAACATTTTTAAATTTGAAAATTAAATATAATACTTTTATTTATCATAAGTTGAACATAAAAACTATATTGTTGTTTATTAMCTTGCCGATTTATAAATGTATTAAAGCATTTTTTCGAGCAAATAATAAGTTTGGTGAATTACCTAACCTAACCTAGAATGCCTCAAAGTATTTGAAAAAACGTCCTAGCAAAATATATTACTGTAGGTAGTTATTTATTTATTTTATTTACCCTTGTTATTTTTAATATCTAGTTCAAGTTCAACGAAACTTAATTACAATACACATTTGTTTTCAGTAGTATACGCATAATACGTAGTTAAGTCTTGATAAGTACCTATTCGAATACTTGTATTTGAATACTATTCAAATACTTTTTGACCAATCTATTTTAAGTACTTAAAAAGTATTTTTTATTTGTATTTCATATATTCTAGAATACTAAATACTTTTTTTCATTCTGATGTTCTACCCCAATTCCTTTTTCTAATATTATTTCGTAATGAACTATTTTAGATTTTGTTTTTGAAATACTATTTTTTATAATGGTTCTAACTTTAGAGAATTTATAAATAATTAACTTTCTAGAATTAGGTAAATATTAATTAAATAAAAATAAATATTTAAATATAAAATGTATTAAACTAAAAAAAAATGTTTGTATTTATATCCAAACACTTTTAAAAGGAAGTATTTGAATACATTTGAAAAGTATTCTTAACAAGGCTATGCGCATTACAGACACAACAAGTGGTATTATTGAATAAAAAATAATCATATGCAAATATAAATAATAATATGAACGCCTTGCTTGTTTGTTTTGATGGCGCTCCAGAACTCGTCGTACTCGTACATCGTCCGACACATATCTTTGTGACGGCTCGACAGAAACGGCAGATTGTTGTGCACCGAACATTCGCCCATGACCTTGTCCCAAGGCACGCTGACGCCCGATGGCATCAGACGCGACATGTCCACTTCAGTGTAATTGGCCACCGGCGACTTCTTGGGGAACGGCGTGATGGCCGTCACGTGGTGGCCACGGGCCACTAGCGTCTGCAACACCGAGTCCACCACGTTCCAGTGGCTCTTGGCCGCGATCGGCATCACGGCCAGGATTCGAGCGCTGTCCGCAGCGTGGTAGTATCGTCCCGACGTCAGTATGCCGACCAACATCAACGTGATGCAATAATAAGACCCAATCATTTCCACGACCGTGCGCATGCAGTGCACCTATCCGTGTACAGTAGTCAACAGCTGTTATTATATTGTCGCCGAATCGAGAATTCGAGAATTGATGAGAAGACTACGTGACAACATCACAAAAACTGTTTTTAAGCAGAGCACGTCTTTATTATTCCATTTGTATTTATAGAAGATTTACCGAAATTCCTCAACGAATATGGAAGAACTTTATCTGTGATGTAGCGTTTTAATTTTGTTGATAGCACTAATAACCAATAGTTTTTAATAATTAAATGAAATAACCTAATGTTCTCAAACCGTAAATTTAATTGTATTTATGTTATCCAAATAAGATAACGCTAAGGCACGTATAATGTTCTCTCTTATGCGTTGTGGAATTTTGGTAATTCTACTATGATGAATACTGAAGGAGTAAAGTGGATCCATGCAAAGACCGTTTTTTTGCCATGTTGTACCACGTTTAATAAAAAAATAAGAACCGGGCCTGTGTGGTAACAAATTTTTTTAATTGTAGTATCGGGAAGGTCAGGTCGAAAAATGACTCGTGCAGATCCCTAGTAGGTACAATTAGTTTATAATTTATCCAAAAACAGATGATTTAATTTAAAAATTTTTTTATTATAATTTAATTATTCAGGTATTATGTATTTATGTGTGATTAAACTAAAAATCTTTCATCCGAGATACAATTTAACAATTACCATTAATAATTGTATAAAATACTGGATAAATACAAAAATAAGAAAAAATACTTCGATTCTTAATCTATCTGCATGACTTAATAATTGATTATTTTTAAATACAAATTCAAATTTACGATTTAATTAAAAAGAAAAAAAAATTCTAGGAACAATGTACAAAATAATATATCTACCTGAATATAATGTCTCAATCGCAAACTTTATAGTGGTTTAATTATGTACTTTTCAAATAAACAAAGTTCATGGTATGTAAATATGGAGTAATTTTAATTAGTTATGTATAGTAATACTATATAAATTCGTTAAATAATGGTTAAACAAAAAAAATTCCAGCCAATATAATACAAATATACCGTCTCAACGACCACTCACTCAGTACTAACAAAGAGCGTCTACAGCATCGTTAAACGTTTTTCGTACAATCGAATATAATATTTGTTATGGCCTATGAACGGGTTCGAACAAATAAAGATCACATTTGTTTTTGTGACAAACGAGTGCTCAATAGTCCATTATTTAAACCACGAAGTGATATATATGACGAAAATTCGTCTCTGTGTAGATTTTAATTAACTACAAAACACTATAAAATATACGGAATTACCGACGAAAGAATACGCACCTGAACTTAATTTACCGACATGTAACGCTGTTGTACTATAACTGATAATACCGTGTTGGTACCTACTTAATTAATCGTATTGTTAATAATTATATCATATCAGTATCTCATTGTGTTCATTATTTTCTATAAGTACATATTTTAAACGTCTAATTTAAAAAATACTAGTATGTGATTATTATAGCCATACGTTTAATCTTTTTTTTTACGTTTGAATCATATAATATAATATAGGTATTAATCATAAACAATTTATACCTTAACTTTATCATATCTAGTTTTTTTTAAAGCTCATTGAAACGATTAGTTACATTTAAAAACAATGCAGTTGTTTGTGTGCTGTAATATTATTTAATCCACATTTTTAAATATTTTTATCAAATTAATAATCAATGTTTGATTAATATTACAGAATAATACGACTCGATTAAAAGAACGCCATCRCCACTCCTTCATTTGTTGTCTCAGTCTTATAAGAACGCGTAGCATAGCAAATTTACGCTCAGCAGTTCAGTCTTATTCCGTTACCTTAAAAATTAGAGTAAGAACATTATCTGTGTATTATTGGAATATTTTTATATTACGATAATACTGCAGTTTTTAAGTGAGTTATGCATGTATAATAAATTGTAAAATAAAAATGTTCATAACTCACTTAAAAACTGAATTATTGTAAAAAAAACTTCCAACAAAATACAGATAATGTTCTTACGACCAAGATTCATAATATGTCCATTCACTCTAGTTTTTAAGCTAACAGAATAGGACGTTGAGCGTAAATTTGCTATATGTTACGCGTTCTTATAAAACTAAGACAACAAATGCCGGTGTGGCGTCCTCTTAACGTTAAGAAAGAACCTCGGTGGCCAATTTGTGCGCAGGATCGTAACTTTACTGCTTGACCGTCACCTGACGAAAACTGACGACCTCCGAGGTTTTTTCTTACCGTGAACGAAATATTAGTAATTCAATAATAGAGTTTAGATTTTAATTTAATTAGTGTCAGTTTATGGAAATTAGATCTTAATAGTTGTACAGATTATTATGATATAATTAGGTTAATTTAAAATATTACTAGGAAACTGATAAAAAATAGTATAACTTATGATAACTGTCGATTTGAGTACAAACTACGATGGCCAATGCTCAAATTAAATTATTTTGTTCATTGACTCGCGATATAGGATGCGTTTTATTTTATTATTTCTTATTTACAAACTATAGTGTCTGACTTGAAATAATAATAACATACAACCTTAAATAAATCGACTTCAAAGAAAATAATATTGCTAAGTTTATTTTATATTAATTATAATCTAATTAATAATATTTGTACATCCTACCAATTTACTAAATATACAATATTGAAGCAAAATAAACTAACTATAGAGTGCTCTGTTGAGCATACCTACTTAAAGTCGTTTAAAAAAGATATGAACAATCAACAGTATGGTATACTTTTACTATAATAATAGTTATGGATGTATAAATAAATCCATCAAGGAAAAAATAGGAGTAGTTCAATATGGAAACATTTTGCTTACAAAAATATAAATTAGGAATACAACTTGTTGTTTAAAAATAGAACGTATAATATACTATACCTATATAGTAGGTATCTATTGTTTTTAATTTTATTAAAAATGTAATTAGTAAAATTCAGTAAATTCAACTTGCCCAGTATTACATCCTACATCTATATAACACGATGCTTTTAATGTTTATGTACGTATTAAACATTTGTCATAGTTTTATATAACTTATATAATATTATAATAAACTATAATAATTATGTKATTTTATTTTACGTATAATCTAGCTGTATTTTAAGTCTAGTGTCTAAAGTAGGCTAATATTAGGTAGGTACCTATATTATAGGCTATAACTGTTGAAGCATTAATAGACAATTAAAATAAATATATTTTGTGTATAATACAATAATTAGTATAATTTAGTAAAGGTTGGTTTCTATAGTGAAATTGTTCGGAATCGTGTTTTTTATACATCGAATTAAATTATGTATAGGTAGTTCAATTCATTATTTAATACATGTGCCTATTCAATTATTCAATTAACCGAAAAGTATTTTAATATTAAACTTACATAGTTACATGACATGTTTTTGTAAAAATATATGTATAGATATATATATGCACTAAATATCACGTTTTTTTCAGGTTATTGGTCAAATAACTGTTTTCGAATTTTCATAGTTCCATTTGTGGTTGAAATGTCAACTTAATATTAATTTAATAGTAACATCATTAATAAGTATAATTTAATTGAATATAATTATAATGTACAATAAATAAATAAAGGTAAAGTTATGTATTATTTTACTCTCAATAAATATATTATATTTTATGGAATAGGCTTACAAATAACAGCAATATTAATACATCTCAGGACTCAGACTAGCATAGATGTCAATCGCTTCTAACCGCAACCTAGCTACTATTTTAAAGTTTAAATTATAATGTATAATAATATTAAAAACCCCATATAAATTTTATCTGAACTACTCGGGTAATTTCATATTTTAATATTTACATCTATTCAATCGCATAATTTTCTCAATGAAATGCTTTTAATGGCTTATCTCTCAAACTACCCATAGGCGGTAGGTATACCATTCAAAAAATCTTATAAATTTTTAATTAACCTGTGGTCGGTAGTTAGTTAAAAAAATTTTGGTTAAGGATCATTTTACTCTAAGGATATTTAAAAGCAAGAWACAATATTGTTTTGCGTGAATGCATTACATCTATTTTGCCATAGACCAGATAGAGAAAACAAACAGTACACTGACATTCTTTTAAATTCAGACTACTAAATCTAATTTTTATTTTTATTTATGATTAAAATCGACGACTTTACAAATATTTAACCAATCATACTTCAAGTATAAAAATGTCATTACAAATGAATAATAATTATTCAATACTTTATAATCTCCATATAAAATATGTATGTTTATAAATTAATTTTCGTACCAAATTGATGAGAAGAATTCTCCATTTGTGATGAACAGTTTTTTTCCAATTATAAATAGATTTTGAATTTTTTTTGTAAATATACTAATTTACAAGTTGGTGGTTTGGTTGCACATAAATATTAAGTTAAGCCAATATAATACATTTATTACCTTATAATATCTTAAGAACAATCTAAGTAGGTATTAAATAAAAATAACACACGAGATGTATAGTTACAAATAATGGTATTAATTATAAATTAATCTGTAATAGTTGAAAAATATTTGAAAATTTACAAAGTCGTAAAAAATTTGCCTATTCTAAAACCCCTTAAAAATTCCTGTTATGGTATTTTTGAAAATTATAAAATGAAACACAGATATAACGTTAGTTATAACATACTTTTGGATCTACTGGAAGTAAGACTGAAATATTGCAAATTGACATATTGTAATTATTATTGGTTTTCGATTGTGGTACTTTCAGATCAATCATTTCAAGGTGAGTTAATTTTTTTCAGGTTGAAAAATACCTCTTAATCTATTTTTCCAATTCATGTACTGGTTAAACAATATGGTTCAATGGTATAAACCAGGGATGGCCAACCCGCGGCCCACGGCCCGCGACATTTATCAAGTATGTATTTACAAAAAAAATTTATATAAACACTAATAATTCTAATCTAATCTGATAAAAATATATACTAGTAGACATTAGCTTATAGCAAATTGTATTTTTAAAATAAAAAAAGCTTAGTGAACGAGTTGAGAAACAAATATCTCACTAAATAACTAAATAGGTAGTAATGTTTACTCCATTTTTTTTGTATTAAATATATGTGATTATATTAATATTTTGGCTGATGACCCTTTTTTTTTTTTTACAATCCTATATGTGGCCCGCAGGATTGTTATGTATTTACAAAGTGGCCCGCAAGATCATTTGGGTTGACCATCCCTGGTATTAACAATCTACTATTAATGTTTATTTAATGTAATAACATTTTATCAAGCCAGCTTATTTTTAAACAGTTAAATATTTTGGAACTTGATAAAAAAAAGTATGAAACACTGTACTGCAGTGGACTGCCGTTGAAGTTCGTAATCCCAAATCAAGAATGATAACATATTATTTTGCATATTTATTAATATAGTACAGGGGTGTTCAACTTATGGCTTGCGTCTTATATTTAAAAAAAAACCAGTACAAAGTTAATTTAAATTATGATATGTAGTTATAAACATTTTGGCTCTTGATATCATTGTAGGTATTTATCCACGTGGCCATCTCTCATATAGTATATAATTAAACCTATTAAATTGTACTTAATTGCAAAACTCTTAAATTGTATATATTATGAATATAATAATTAAATTTATCTTATATTATTAATAATTATTGGTATTCTAAATATCTGCTCATAAACATTATATTAGTTGAGTAAAAGTAGTACAACAGATAAATAATATTATATTAGGCACCTATTCAATTTCGGTTTATGTTAAACCATATATAAAATAAAATATTACATTAACGAAAGAAAAAAAAAATTCAATTCATCACCCATTGGTTTTTTTTWAAATGCTATACCCGGTTACAATCCAGTTTTAACTTTAAAGGTAAGATCTACATGTTTAATAACAATAGGTATTATAACATTCCTCTGATACTATTAACTAACAGTTAAAATATAATATTTTTAAATTAAATTACTTAACTTTCGATTATTTGATGAATACAAACGATATGTAGAATAATAATTTTAGAATGATTACTAACTAGTGTGAATAATCATCATGGTTTAAATTGTGCGTTACACAACAATTGTTTACTATAAATATTTTTTTAAAACAAAGAAATTACTGTGCTGTTAATAGTCAACACAGATGTACCATAGAAAAACCGGGTAAGTCGTGGATGTCGCTCTGCTGTACAGTAGATTACAAGTAGGTCACTGTAACGCCGTGTCCTACGTGAATCCGGCGAGTGCGGCGAGTGCGAACGAATTCTATTCTGACCATGCTGTTCCGCCGCTGGTGCGTCCGATGCGGCGAAATACAAGCTGTTTTGTCACGTAGGGCACGGCGTTATGGATGGAATTAAATATGAATCCAATGATATTATATCATTGTATACGAAAAACGATTCTGAGCGGAGACGGTCAGATATTATCGATTRTTAAAAATTTTCAAATCTTAGATTTAAAAAGAAAAAGGTCACTCAAATATTTTGAAAATTTTATCATGTCTAAGTAAGGCTAATATAAGTATACAACCCAAATTTCAAGTTTATACGAATGTTTTTAACCGAACTACAATAAAAAAATTCTCAAAATTAAAATGTCTATAAATAGCTCAAAAGTGGCTAAAATTTTCCGNAATCTAAAATAGTTCATTACGAAATAATACGTAGTTAAGTCTTGATAAGTACCTATTCGAATACTTGTATTTGAATACTATTCAAATACTTTTTGACCAATCTATTTTAAGTACTTAAAAAGTATTTTTTATTTGTATTTCATATATTCTAGAATACTAAATACTTTTTTTCATTCTGATGTTCTACCCCAATTCCTTTTTCTAATATTATTTCGTAATGAACTATTTTAGATTTTGTTTTTGAAATACTATTTTTTATAATGGTTCTAACTTTAGAGAATTTATAAATAATTAACTTTCTAGAATTAGGTAAATATTAATTAAATAAAAATAAATATTTAAATATAAAATGTATTAAACTAAAAAAAAATGTTTGTATTTATATCCAAACACTTTTAAAAGGAAGTATTTGAATACATTTGAAAAGTATTCTTAACAAGGCTATGCGCATTACAGACACAACAAGTGGTATTATTGAATAAAAAATAATCATATGCAAATATAAATAATAATATGAACGCCTTGCTTGTTTGTTTTGATGGCGCTCCAGAACTCGTCGTACTCGTACATCGTCCGACACATATCTTTGTGACGGCTCGACAGAAACGGCAGATTGTTGTGCACCGAACATTCGCCCATGACCTTGTCCCAAGGCACGCTGACGCCCGATGGCATCAGACGCGACATGTCCACTTCAGTGTAATTGGCCACCGGCGACTTCTTGGGGAACGGCGTGATGGCCGTCACGTGGTGGCCACGGGCCACTAGCGTCTGCAACACCGAGTCCACCACGTTCCAGTGGCTCTTGGCCGCGATCGGCATCACGGCCAGGATTCGAGCGCTGTCCGCAGCGTGGTAGTATCGTCCCGACGTCAGTATGCCGACCAACATCAACGTGATGCAATAATAAGACCCAATCATTTCCACGACCGTGCGCATGCAGTGCACCTATCCGTGTACAGTAGTCAACAGCTGTTATTATATTGTCGCCGAATCGAGAATTCGAGAATTGATGAGAAGACTACGTGACAACATCACAAAAACTGTTTTTAAGCAGAGCACGTCTTTATTATTCCATTTGTATTTATAGAAGATTTACCGAAATTCCTCAACGAATATGGAAGAACTTTATCTGTGATGTAGCGTTTTAATTTTGTTGATAGCACTAATAACCAATAGTTTTTAATAATTAAATGAAATAACCTAATGTTCTCAAACCGTAAATTTAATTGTATTTATGTTATCCAAATAAGATAACGCTAAGGCACGTATAATGTTCTCTCTTATGCGTTGTGGAATTTTGGTAATTCTACTATGATGAATACTGAAGGAGTAAAGTGGATCCATGCAAAGACCGTTTTTTTGCCATGTTGTACCACGTTTAATAAAAAAATAAGAACCGGGCCTGTGTGGTAACAAATTTTTTTAATTGTAGTATCGGGAAGGTCAGGTCGAAAAATGACTCGTGCAGATCCCTAGTAGGTACAATTAGTTTATAATTTATCCAAAAACAGATGATTTAATTTAAAAATTTTTTTATTATAATTTAATTATTCAGGTATTATGTATTTATGTGTGATTAAACTAAAAATCTTTCATCCGAGATACAATTTAACAATTACCATTAATAATTGTATAAAATACTGGATAAATACAAAAATAAGAAAAAATACTTCGATTCTTAATCTATCTGCATGACTTAATAATTGATTATTTTTAAATACAAATTCAAATTTACGATTTAATTAAAAAGAAAAAAAAATTCTAGGAACAATGTACAAAATAATATATCTACCTGAATATAATGTCTCAATCGCAAACTTTATAGTGGTTTAATTATGTACTTTTCAAATAAACAAAGTTCATGGTATGTAAATATGGAGTAATTTTAATTAGTTATGTATAGTAATACTATATAAATTCGTTAAATAATGGTTAAACAAAAAAAATTCCAGCCAATATAATACAAATATACCGTCTCAACGACCACTCACTCAGTACTAACAAAGAGCGTCTACAGCATCGTTAAACGTTTTTCGTACAATCGAATATAATATTTGTTATGGCCTATGAACGGGTTCGAACAAATAAAGATCACATTTGTTTTTGTGACAAACGAGTGCTCAATAGTCCATTATTTAAACCACGAAGTGATATATATGACGAAAATTCGTCTCTGTGTAGATTTTAATTAACTACAAAACACTATAAAATATACGGAATTACCGACGAAAGAATACGCACCTGAACTTAATTTACCGACATGTAACGCTGTTGTACTATAACTGATAATACCGTGTTGGTACCTACTTAATTAATCGTATTGTTAATAATTATATCATATCAGTATCTCATTGTGTTCATTATTTTCTATAAGTACATATTTTAAACGTCTAATTTAAAAAATACTAGTATGTGATTATTATAGCCATACGTTTAATCTTTTTTTTTACGTTTGAATCATATAATATAATATAGGTATTAATCATAAACAATTTATACCTTAACTTTATCATATCTAGTTTTTTTTAAAGCTCATTGAAACGATTAGTTACATTTAAAAACAATGCAGTTGTTTGTGTGCTGTAATATTATTTAATCCACATTTTTAAATATTTTTATCAAATTAATAATCAATGTTTGATTAATATTACAGAATAATACGACTCGATTAAAAGAACGCCATCRCCACTCCTTCATTTGTTGTCTCAGTCTTATAAGAACGCGTAGCATAGCAAATTTACGCTCAGCAGTTCAGTCTTATTCCGTTACCTTAAAAATTAGAGTAAGAACATTATCTGTGTATTATTGGAATATTTTTATATTACGATAATACTGCAGTTTTTAAGTGAGTTATGCATGTATAATAAATTGTAAAATAAAAATGTTCATAACTCACTTAAAAACTGAATTATTGTAAAAAAAACTTCCAACAAAATACAGATAATGTTCTTACGACCAAGATTCATAATATGTCCATTCACTCTAGTTTTTAAGCTAACAGAATAGGACGTTGAGCGTAAATTTGCTATATGTTACGCGTTCTTATAAAACTAAGACAACAAATGCCGGTGTGGCGTCCTCTTAACGTTAAGAAAGAACCTCGGTGGCCAATTTGTGCGCAGGATCGTAACTTTACTGCTTGACCGTCACCTGACGAAAACTGACGACCTCCGAGGTTTTTTCTTACCGTGAACGAAATATTAGTAATTCAATAATAGAGTTTAGATTTTAATTTAATTAGTGTCAGTTTATGGAAATTAGATCTTAATAGTTGTACAGATTATTATGATATAATTAGGTTAATTTAAAATATTACTAGGAAACTGATAAAAAATAGTATAACTTATGATAACTGTCGATTTGAGTACAAACTACGATGGCCAATGCTCAAATTAAATTATTTTGTTCATTGACTCGCGATATAGGATGCGTTTTATTTTATTATTTCTTATTTACAAACTATAGTGTCTGACTTGAAATAATAATAACATACAACCTTAAATAAATCGACTTCAAAGAAAATAATATTGCTAAGTTTATTTTATATTAATTATAATCTAATTAATAATATTTGTACATCCTACCAATTTACTAAATATACAATATTGAAGCAAAATAAACTAACTATAGAGTGCTCTGTTGAGCATACCTACTTAAAGTCGTTTAAAAAAGATATGAACAATCAACAGTATGGTATACTTTTACTATAATAATAGTTATGGATGTATAAATAAATCCATCAAGGAAAAAATAGGAGTAGTTCAATATGGAAACATTTTGCTTACAAAAATATAAATTAGGAATACAACTTGTTGTTTAAAAATAGAACGTATAATATACTATACCTATATAGTAGGTATCTATTGTTTTTAATTTTATTAAAAATGTAATTAGTAAAATTCAGTAAATTCAACTTGCCCAGTATTACATCCTACATCTATATAACACGATGCTTTTAATGTTTATGTACGTATTAAACATTTGTCATAGTTTTATATAACTTATATAATATTATAATAAACTATAATAATTATGTKATTTTATTTTACGTATAATCTAGCTGTATTTTAAGTCTAGTGTCTAAAGTAGGCTAATATTAGGTAGGTACCTATATTATAGGCTATAACTGTTGAAGCATTAATAGACAATTAAAATAAATATATTTTGTGTATAATACAATAATTAGTATAATTTAGTAAAGGTTGGTTTCTATAGTGAAATTGTTCGGAATCGTGTTTTTTATACATCGAATTAAATTATGTATAGGTAGTTCAATTCATTATTTAATACATGTGCCTATTCAATTATTCAATTAACCGAAAAGTATTTTAATATTAAACTTACATAGTTACATGACATGTTTTTGTAAAAATATATGTATAGATATATATATGCACTAAATATCACGTTTTTTTCAGGTTATTGGTCAAATAACTGTTTTCGAATTTTCATAGTTCCATTTGTGGTTGAAATGTCAACTTAATATTAATTTAATAGTAACATCATTAATAAGTATAATTTAATTGAATATAATTATAATGTACAATAAATAAATAAAGGTAAAGTTATGTATTATTTTACTCTCAATAAATATATTATATTTTATGGAATAGGCTTACAAATAACAGCAATATTAATACATCTCAGGACTCAGACTAGCATAGATGTCAATCGCTTCTAACCGCAACCTAGCTACTATTTTAAAGTTTAAATTATAATGTATAATAATATTAAAAACCCCATATAAATTTTATCTGAACTACTCGGGTAATTTCATATTTTAATATTTACATCTATTCAATCGCATAATTTTCTCAATGAAATGCTTTTAATGGCTTATCTCTCAAACTACCCATAGGCGGTAGGTATACCATTCAAAAAATCTTATAAATTTATAATTAACCTGTGGTCGGTAGTTAGTTAAAAAAATTTTGGTTAAGGATCATTTTACTCTAAGGATATTTAAAAGCAAGAWACAATATTGTTTTGCGTGAATGCATTACATCTATTTTGCCATAGACCAGATAGAGAAAACAAACAGTACACTGACATTCTTTTAAATTCAGACTACTAAATCTAATTTTTATTTTTATTTATGATTAAAATCGACGACTTTACAAATATTTAACCAATCATACTTCAAGTATAAAAATGTCATTACAAATGAATAATAATTATTCAATACTTTATAATCTCCATATAAAATATGTATGTTTATAAATTAATTTTCGTACCAAATTGATGAGAAGAATTATCCATTTGTGATGAACAGTTTTTTTCCAATTATAAATAGATTTTGAATTTTTTTTGTAAATATACTAATTTACAAGTTGGTGGTTTGGTTGCACATAAATATTAAGTTAAGCCAATATAATACATTTATTACCTTATAATATCTTAAGAACAATCTAAGTAGGTATTAAATAAAAATAACACACGAGATGTATAGTTACAAATAATGGTATTAATTATAAATTAATCTGTAATAGTTGAAAAATATTTGAAAATTTACAAAGTCGTAAAAAATTTGCCTATTCTAAAACCCCTTAAAAATTCCTGTTATGGTATTTTTGAAAATTATAAAATGAAACACAGATATAACGTTAGTTATAACATACTTTTGGATCTACTGGAAGTAAGACTGAAATATTGCAAATTGACATATTGTAATTATTATTGGTTTTCGATTGTGGTACTTTCAGATCAATCATTTCAAGGTGAGTTAATTTTTTTCAGGTTGAAAAATACCTCTTAATCTATTTTTCCAATTCATGTACTGGTTAAACAATATGGTTCAATGGTATAAACCAGGGATGGCCAACCCGCGGCCCACGGCCCGCGACATTTATCAAGTATGTATTTACAAAAAAAATTTATATAAACACTAATAATTCTAATCTAATCTGATAAAAATATATACTAGTAGACATTAGCTTATAGCAAATTGTATTTTTAAAATAAAAAAAGCTTAGTGAACGAGTTGAGAAACAAATATCTCACTAAATAACTAAATAGGTAGTAATGTTTACTCCATTTTTTTTGTATTAAATATATGTGATTATATTAATATTTTGGCTGATGACCCTTTTTTTTTTTTTACAATCCTATATGTGGCCCGCAGGATTGTTATGTATTTACAAAGTGGCCCGCAAGATCATTTGGGTTGACCATCCCTGGTATTAACAATCTACTATTAATGTTTATTTAATGTAATAACATTTTATCAAGCCAGCTTATTTTTAAACAGTTAAATATTTTGGAACTTGATAAAAAAAAGTATGAAACACTGTACTGCAGTGGACTGCCGTTGAAGTTCGTAATCCCAAATCAAGAATGATAACATATTATTTTGCATATTTATTAATATAGTACAGGGGTGTTCAACTTATGGCTTGCGTCTTATATTTAAAAAAAAACCAGTACAAAGTTAATTTAAATTATGATATGTAGTTATAAACATTTTGGCTCTTGATATCATTGTAGGTATTTATCCACGTGGCCATCTCTCATATAGTATATAATTAAACCTATTAAATTGTACTTAATTGCAAAACTCTTAAATTGTATATATTATGAATATAATAATTAAATTTATCTTATATTATTAATAATTATTGGTATTCTAAATATCTGCTCATAAACATTATATTAGTTGAGTAAAAGTAGTACAACAGATAAATAATATTATATTAGGCACCTATTCAATTTCGGTTTATGTTAAACCATATATAAAATAAAATATTACATTAACGAAAGAAAAAAAAAATTCAATTCATCACCCATTGGTTTTTTTTWAAATGCTATACCCGGTTACAATCCAGTTTTAACTTTAAAGGTAAGATCTACATGTTTAATAACAATAGGTATTATAACATTCCTCTGATACTATTAACTAACAGTTAAAATATAATATTTTTAAATTAAATTACTTAACTTTCGATTATTTGATGAATACAAACGATATGTAGAATAATAATTTTAGAATGATTACTAACTAGTGTGAATAATCATCATGGTTTAAATTGTGCGTTACACAACAATTGTTTACTATAAATATTTTTTTAAAACAAAGAAATTACTGTGCTGTTAATAGTCAACACAGATGTACCATAGAAAAACCGGGTAAGTCGTGGATGTCGCTCTGCTGTACAGTAGATTACAAGTAGGTCACTGTAACGCCGTGTCCTACGTGAATCCGGCGAGTGCGGCGAGTGCGAACGAATTCTATTCTGACC